ATTACTGTAATACATGTGCAACACAAATTCAACAAAAACAGATTGAGAAAATAATCCTAACTCAAGGTTCACTTACTAACTTTAGTCAGAAGTTGAACCACTAAATTGATCTTTAATTTATTTATTTTTTAAACTTTTGACCGCAAAGACGATATAGTATTGTTGTGTGATGTACAACATTCCTTATTCATCTATGTATAGTCGTCTAGTTAGATCTGAATGATTAATGTTCTTCTTCTATTCAGGAAGTGTCAGAAGGTTCTTGGAAAAAACATGGACTTATGGGAAAATGAAGTATACAGGTTCAAGACCATCGGGCAGTTGAAGGTAGGAATTTCCATAAATTGTGATGCAACCTCTATAAGTTGCGACGTTCTAATAGTATCAATCTCATATCAATCACTTCTCTCCGATTTCAGGCCATCAGCCAGTATTTACCCCGAGGGGACCTGCGTCTCAGACCAGCCATCTATGAAATGATCCTGCACGAATTTCTCAAAACGGACTACGAGGTACTTTGTCCCATAATACTATTGCCATGCTGTTACACATTCAGTGTTAATCCACCTGTTAATCGTCACTTCCTGTGCTTTCCAAAAAGGGGTTTGCCACCCTGACCCGGGAGTGGCCTGGAGAGCTTTATAACAACATGGCCATCGTTCAGACGGTCTCCGATCACCTGAAGCGAGACCCCACCAACAGAACCCTTCTCACCACGCTGGCTGAACTGTGAGCGATCTTACCACATGCATAACTCAACCAACTGAATCATTATTGAAGTATACATTCAAACAAAAGTTGTCAGTTTCTAATATTACAACAAAGTAAAAAGGTTGATATTGGGTGCATCATTTCATACACATTTATAAGGAAATTAGTGTCGATTATCTGTTTTTTTCCTAAAACTGTAAGATCTAGTCTGGGTTTTTGAATCAATGTTTGTGTATTTAAAGGCTGTGTTGCACAATATGTGTCTATATTCATCTGTTTGATTCACAGAGTAATGCTTAAATGAATGCTGACGGATACAAAAAAAGTCAAATTTGATTAAGAATTCTGTTGTTCTTTCATGCTTTTGCAGGTACACGTACGACCAGCGGTACGACAGAGCCTTAGAAATTTACCTGAGGCTGAGGCACAAAGACGTTTACCAGCTGATCCACAAACACAACCTGTTCTCCTCCATCGAGGACAAGATCGTGCTCCTCATGGACTTTGACAAAGAGGTACAGCCTGAAAACACGTGCATTTTGCCATTTTATTGGCATTGTTTACCTTTTGTTAAATCATAAATTCGATGTTTGAGTAATACATTCTCTATAATTGTATTTCCAGAAAGCAGTTGACATGCTTCTCGACAATGAAGACAAGTTATCGGTAAGTGTACATGTCTCTGTCTTTTCTTACTCGTGATGAAAATGTGCGACACACTGATCCTGTTTCTCTTCTCTCTGCTTCTAGACAGACAGGGTGGTGGAAGAACTGGCAGACAGGCCAGAGCTTCTGCATGTGGTGAGTGGAGAACTCTTTAAATAAAATCCTATTAACTCTCACAATGTAATTCAGAAGTGATTTGACTGTTCTTTTCCCCACAGTACCTCCATAAACTGTTCAAGCGGGACCACCACAAAGGCCAAAAATACCACGAGAGACAGATCGGCCTGTACGCTGAATATGACCGACCTAATCTTTTACCATTCCTGAGAGATAGCACGCACTGTCCTCTTGAAAAGGTACAAGTCGTACATGTCATCCATATGCTCAATTCAAGTTTCCAAAAGCTACAAGACATTCATCTTTGTTGTCTTTTTTGTCAGGCTCTCGAGATTTGTCAGCAGAGGAACTTTGTAGAGGAGACTGTCTTCCTGCTCAGTAAGTCTTAGTTAATGTCTGTTTTCTCACTTTAAGTGTCTTTGAAATGATTAAAAGGAAGCTAACCTAGCATGTTGGCTCGCAGGCAGGATGGGGAACTGCAGACGGGCTCTGCAGATGATCATGGAGGAGCTGGAGGATGTGGATAAAGCCATAGAGTTTGCCAAGGAGCAGGACGACGCTGAGCTCTGGGAGGATCTCATCTCTTACTCTATAGACAAACCACGTATGATACAGTCTCATCCCCACCGAACATTTGTTTTCATTCCGTAATTCTTTGTCATTTTCACTCTTTCATGTCTTCTGTCTCTCCCCAGCGTTCATCACTGGCCTCCTTAACAACATTGGTACTCATGTGGATCCCATCCTGCTCATCCATCGCATAAAGGAGGGCATGGAGATTCCAAACCTCAGGGATTCACTCGTAAAAATCCTCCACGACTACAATCTACAGGTTAGACTTGTTTCTGTTACATAATATACTTTGTTCCCCCTTGAAATTAAATTAGTAATACAGCCATTAACACTGGTCATACTTCTAGTATAGCTTTTTATATCCAGTTGAAATAATACATTAAAAATGATGAATAGATAAAGACAGATTTCAAAGACACATTATTTAATGCACATGTAGTAGTGAAATTAATTAATTAAAACTCAATAATTGCTTAAATGTGACATAACAGGCACCAACATAGTCAGTTTATGGTCACATTAATACTTAAAAGACTTTTAAGATTGCTTATATGCCACCCTGGAGGATCAATCTAAGTGAAGACCTCCTTCAGCCCTACACCCCCTCTCGTCACCTGCGGTCCTCTGACAAAGGACTGCTCTCCATCCAGCGCTCCAAGCTGAAAACATTTGGCAACAGAGCCTTCAGTGTCGCAGCCCCCACCCTCTGGAATTCTCTCCCCTCTGCAATCAGGAATGCAGACACTCTGGACACCTTCAAAAAACACCTCAAACACCATCTGTTCACTCAGGCCTTTGGCCTCAACTAATATACAGTACTCAGCAACCTGTTCCTGTTTTGTTTTCTTCAGCCTGTGTATCTGTATGATTATTATTACTTTTTGTTTTGTTACTTCCCATTGTAAAGCGTCCTTGGGTTTCGTGAAAGGCGCTATATAAATTGAAATTATTATTATTATTATTGTTATTAAGACATTTTGGTACACAGAATATTGTTTTTACTACATGTATACACTTTTATAAGGGATTAAATAAGCATGACGCTATGTTGAGGGATATTGTAATGTAACTAACTTCAGTAGTTCCAGTTAGAAATAATGTATCCCTCTAGCAATAAGGGTGATTTCAACAGAAAGACATTTTGAGAATTGATTTATATTAAGTGTTAATTAGTGCTGTTTTCTTCTTAACCAGCGTTTGTTTTCCCATTTCTAAGATTCTTCTGAGGGAAGGATGTAAGAAGATCTTGGTGGCCGACTCCCTCTCTCTGCTCCAGAAGATGCACCGAACACAGACGAGAGGAGTCCGGGTCGACGGTGGGTGGCATTTTTCTCTGTGTTTATGCAGAAACAGCAGAGATGATGTCCTTTTTTAAACTGTACTCATATTAGTTTTGCTTTTTCTTTTCAGAGGAGAACATTTGTGAATCCTGCCATGCTGCAATACTACCATCAGGTGGGTTTACCATCGAGTTGTCCAAGTATTTCATTGTATTTGTATTGCATTTGAAAGATATTCATGCTAGTTGCATCTTTGTTTCAGACATGGCCAAGCCCTTCAGTGTGGTGGTGTTTCACTGCAGACACATGTTTCACAAGGAATGTTTGCCATCCTCAGGATCCGTGAGTAACTTCACCTCAATCTGTGTCTCTCTTTACACAACACATCATATTCCTTTTTCTTTAGGTGTTAACTTTTACATCATTATCTTTTACCCTGGTATTATTTGATCTACTCTGAGAATCTCACATATGACTTTGCTGTGATATATTGAGACTTCTTAACTTCCCTCTTTCCCTTTTTAGATTCCTGGGGTGCAGTTTTGTAACATCTGCAGTGCGAAGAAGCGCAGGCCAGGACATGGAATCCTAGAGATTAAACAGTAAACAGGGAATTTGCACTCCCTCATGTTATTATTATTATTTATGCTTTTACCCTCCGCCTGTTGCTTTACCTCTACTGTTGGTGCATGAATTAATGACGTGCCCTCCCTCACTATACTGTACACTTGTAAACATGCAAAACATGTATATTGGATTGTGTCTGTATATTTGCATCTAACAACTATAAAGTGTTTTCATTATTCTGCTTACCACTAATGTGATTTGCTCTGAAAAATAATAAAATCACATAAAAACACTGTTTTATCTTTATTTTATTGATTTCATGGGAATTAGAAGACAAAGATAACAGTTTACAGAGGAATTATTATGAAATAACAATCACCTCTCTGCTACCCCTACAGCCACAACTGACTTGAACACAATCATAAGAAAGTTATTTTCAGCGTCCCCTTCCAAATCTGATTTTACTGCTTCCATTCAGATTTGACAGCTTAAAAAGATGTACACATACAAACCTGTTGGGAGGCAGCGAGATGCCAAAATGTGTTGGTACTCTGTTCAGCTTGTAAAATATACAGATGCACTATTAGTTCTTAACATATATGTGACATATAACCTATATTATATATATTACATATATTGGTTAGGATTCTTTCATGTTAATAGACGCTACAACAAATACATGTAGTGGAGTCAATGGTACGGTTTCTGAACTGTAGTGGAGTCAAAGTAGAATGTAACATAAACATGTATCATAAAAGTAAGTTAAAGTTACATTAAAACCACTGCTGACATATAATAATTAGTTATCTAGAAGTTGAACAATATGGTTGTAGGTGTCTATAAAAGCTGTTGTATGTTGGCATGTGATATTCCTTTTCCTTGTAATTATTGTGCAATTATACTGCACATTATTAACTTTTAACACTGTGTTAAAATACGTTATATTAGCATGACACCAATGTTCATTAATGTGCAATTTCTATCTTTAATAAATTAATTAATTAAAGCCCAAATTTACAAAACTTCACTCTCAATCTTTCCTGGAGGGCTGCTACGTCACTTCCGCTGTTCCTCTCCGGAAGTACAGTTAATTTTTATTCACAGAAAAAAAAAAAAACAGCTGTTGTTGAAAAAGAAAACAGCGAAGAGAGTTTCATTGACGGATGTCTTGGCTTTATCTTTTCGCACACATAAGTAAAGTAAGATATACTCTCTCTATTATCTCCTCTCTGTGTCCGCCTGCTGTTTTTACTGACTTAGTAACCGAGTCTCGTATCGTTCATTTGTTGCGAGTTGCTAGCATTAGCTTCCATCACTTCCAGGCAGCTAGCACACTTACTAGCAATAGCTAACTGCATGTCGGACTGTTAGCACAACTTTTGGGGACAACATTCTCTGTCAGGCTATCGGTAAGATTATATGTAGATGGCAACCAAGTTAGTAATTGTAAATCGTACATTGGGTGACTCGCTAACCACCTAGTTTAACTGCGATGTATCACTGTTTATTTCCCGTTAGCCTTTTTTATGATCATAAATACCAGGTAACAGTTAATGCATTTACAACATAATATAGTTCCTGTTTATATTATAGTTATTTCTGTTGAATTTACTTTACACAGATCACCGTTTGAAAGCATATAATCAATTAACTTCATCAGATGTCTAGCTACAAATTAAAAGAGGGTGCCTGAAAGTGTTACTTATAGCTTATTTAATACAATTCTAATTAAAGAGTTTGTTCAATTTGTGCTGTTTTCCTGCCTTTTTGTAATACCTATATTTTTGTCACGTATTTTGACAGAATGCATGCCCCAAAGAGAGGGTCATCTCCTGATGATTCTCAGCGCAAGATAAGGAAGTTGGATCAGGATGAGGATGACATGCAATCCACAACTGCACCAGCTACAAATAATACAGCAGCAGACTCACGGAATAAACCAGCCAAGTCATCAATACAGAGTTTCCCTGCAAAGGATTCCAACAAAACCATTTCTGAACCCCCTCTCAAAGAATCCAAGCTCCTAAATGCCACAAGTGCCTCCTGCGGAGAAGCTCCCTCACAGAAAGCTAACTCCAATGCTTCCCTGAAGCGAACAGCCTCCACTGAGTCTGAGGATGAATTAAGTAGTGATAGTAGTAAGACTGACCCTTTTAGAGAGAGGCATGATGGCGACAAGGCACGCTGCATCAGAAAATATTCTAATCGAGTCAAAGCGAAGCGCAAAGCTGAAGAGCCAACGTCTGACCCACAGGAGACAGGCCAAGGGTCACCGTCTGCACCTGAAGGCCCCGTTCAGATGGACCACAATTATGGTAGATTTTCAGATTCAAGTATGGGAGAGCTTGATATGGATGAGAGAAAAGAATCCGCACACTCTGTCACTGAACTACAGGTACAAGTAATGTCAGTTAATGCAACACAAGCAGAGTCAAAATACACTTTAGTTGCTGCAAGCAGAAGTGCAAAGGCTAGCATTGAATTTGAGTGCCCAGATGGTCAAATCAAACATGAGGAATTGAAAAATGTAGAAGGCCAAAAGCTCAATGATAATAAAACCCCCACATCATGTATAGAGAGCTTAGACTCTGTCACTGCAACAGCTGAAGGGTCGCCTTGCATCACATCTGAGGCAGAAGGGAATGAAAAGAAAGACCTCAATAACCAAAAGTGTGTAGATAATGAAACAGTTGCACCTGCAGTGGAAACATTGTATAGTACTGGAGAGGCAAATCCAGGCTGTGAAGTGGAAATACAGTTAGAGGAGAGCATGAACTCATTTCCTATAAGTCCTACAGTTAACATCACTGAAACTAAGGACACCACAGAGTCTGTTTCTAAGGAGACATTGGATGTAAAATGTAAAAGTGAGGATGAAGGGCAGGAAGCCAATGTCTCCGCAGACCATATTGATGTAGCAGATAAAGCGTTATCAAATGAAACAAACGTGGAAGGAGGTGTTAATCCTGAGAGTCAGACTAATAAGAAATTAACACTGCCCACTGGCAATCCAGACACTCAAACAGACCTCAGTGTCAAAATTCAAGTTACTTTCAAAGAGGAATCTAACATCATTCATCAAGTGAGCCATGAAGTGCCAGATGCAATTACCAACTCGTGTGAGGATGTGGACAAACTAGTACGAAAGTCGGAGGAAAAACGCAAGGAAAGTGATAGGAAAGGAGTCGAGTTCCTGTCGACTCAGACTGTTGCTGTTTCTGCGTCCTTTGCTGAAATGCAAGTGATGGAAAAGACGACTGACAGCTGTACAGAAATACTGACATCAAATTGTGAGGCTGTTCCTGAGCAAAATCAAAACAAGGTGCTCTCTGAGTGTGTCACAGACTTGAAGGGGCATATTGACACGGACCTGGAGACCAAAATGACAGAGGACAGGAATAAATCAGCACCTAAGGAGGATACACTAAACGGGGGGAACCACATAGGTAATGACAATACCATGCAAATACCAGCTGTAGTCGAAGACGTTGCAGAGACAAGGATAGAACAAGAGAACCACTTTGAGGACATTTCCAATGAAGCCACCACAATGGAAATACAACTCCAGAAGAGGCAGGAAGTAAGTGAACACACTGCAGACATATCTACAGAATTGAATAAGGATTGTGTTTCAAATTCTAAAATAATGGAAAATGACGACAACCAGGACTTTGAACACACTAGTGGACCTGAGAGACAGACTACAACGCCATCACAGATTCTTAATCCTGCATCTTCAGTGGAAGTACAAATCCAGGAGAGGCCAAGAGACGACGAACCCATCGCAGAAATGTCTGATAAAACACAGAAACATCCATTTGCAAATTGCCAGAAAGCTGAAGGCAGGGTTGATGCTGAAGCTGTAGTTGCTGCTGAGAATCTGAATAGAATAGATGTGGATATGCAGACGACAACCGCATCACAAGAGACGTCTAACATTGCACCTACTCCTACAGTGGATATGCAGACGACAACAGCATCACAAGAGACGTCTAACATTGCACCTACTCCTACAGTGGATATGCAGACGACGACAGCATCAGAAGAGACGTCTAACATTGCACCTACTCCTACAGTGGATATGCAGACGACGACAGCATCAGAAGAGACGTCTAACATTGCACCTACTCCTACAGTGGATATGCAGACGACGACAGCATCACAAGAGACGTCTAACATTGCACCTACACCTACAGTGGATATGCAGACGACGACAGCATCACAAGAGACGTCTAACATTGCACCTACTCCTACAGTGGATATGCAGACGACGACAGCATCACAAGAGACGTCTAACATTGCACCTACACCTACAGTGGATATGCAGACGACAACCGCATCAGAAGAGACGTCTAACATTGCACCTACACCTACAGTGGATATGCAGACGACAACCGCATCACAAGAGACGTCTAACATTGCACCTACAGTGGATATGCAGACGACAACCGCATCACAAGAGACGTCTAACATTGCACCTACAGTGGATATGCAGACGACAACCGCATCAGAAGAGACGTCTAACATTGCACCTACTCCTACAGTGGATATGCAGACGACAACCGCATCACAAGAGACGTCTAACATTGCACCTACACCTACAGTGGATATGCAGACGACAACCGCATCACAAGAGACGTCTAACATTGCACCTACAGTGGATATGCAGACGACAACCGCATCAGAAGAGACGTCTAACATTGCACCTACTCCTACAGTGGATATGCAGACGACGACAGCATCACAAGAGACGTCTAACATTGCACCTACAGTGGATATGCAGAGGACAACCGCATCAGAAGAGACGTCTAACATTGCACCTACTCCTACAGTGGATATGCAGACGACAACCGCATCAGAAGAGACGTCTAACATTGCACCTACACCTACAGTGGATATGCAGACGACAACCGCATCAGAAGAGACGTCTAACATTGCACCTACTCCTACAGTGGATATGCAGACGACGACAGCATCACAAGAGACGTCTAACATTGCACCTACAGTGGATATGCAGACGACGACAGCATCACAAGAGACGTCTAACATTGCACCTACTCCTACAGTGGATATGCAGACGACGACAGCATCACAAGAGACGTCTAACATTGCACCTACTCCTACAGTGGATATGCAGGCGACGACAGCATCACAAGAGACGTCTAACATTGCACCTACAGTGGATATGCAGACGACAACCGCATCAGAAGAGACGTCTAACATTGCACCTACACCTACAGTGGATATGCAGACGACAACCGCATCAGAAGAGACGTCTAACATTGCACCTACTCCTACAGTGGATATGCAGACGACGACAGCATCAGAAGAGACGTCTAACATTGCACCTACTCCTACAGTGGATATGCAAAGCCAGGAAGTCATTGAACCCACCACAGACATGTCTGCTGAACTGCATGAGGATCAAAAGGCTGAACATATGGAAAATCCAGCTCCTGTAGTTGAAAGCATAATAGAAGTGGACATGCAGACTACATCATCTGAGGAGATAACTGACAAAGCACATGCACTGGAAATACAAAGTCAAAATGAAGTAAATATCAAGACTGCAGCAACATCAATGGAGATTTCTAACATAGCAGAAACACAAGCCCAGGTGTGCCAGGCAGTCTTTGAACCTGAAACAGACAGCTCTCAAAAAGGTCTTCAGACTCCTGAGAGGAATGGAAATGAAAACAAGGTTACCGCAGTGTGTGTCAGTGCAACAGAGAATCAAAGAGAAATTGATTTGCAGAGCACAACAACACGAGAGGAGACTTCTGATCCCACAACTAAAGCAGAAACACAGAATCAGAGAAGTCATAAGGTGGAAGAACTCACAACACAGGTCAGCGATCCTAAAGATTGTATTGTGGCAAACACAACAAGTGAAGAAAACAAGGATACAGTTATCACAGTATGTGTGGATGCCACTGATAATCATATAGAAATGGATGTGCGACCGACAGCAGCGCCGGAAATGTATAATCAACCCCTTACAGACGAAATGCAAAGCAAGGGGAGCCCAGAACTCCACTCCGAAGCTCAAAATGATCTAGTGACTGCAAGTTGTGAAAAAGCAAATGGGGTTAATGCTAAATGTATGGATGTTACAGACGTTCAAATAAATATGGAAACTACTAAAACACCGGAGGATATTTGTGATGCAGCACCGCCCATGGAGGAGCAAAACCAGAGGACGGTGGAAGTCGATGAACCCACTATAGCCTTATCGAGTGAAACTAACCAACCTCCTCCTTGGCCTGAAAGTGAGGATAATGCCAACATGCAGATACAGACGAGTGAGAATATCCAAGGGAATATGGATGTTGTAGGTTTATCAACAGAAAGGGTCAGCGATATTGAAGGAGAAGGAACTGGAAGCAATGAAGTAATAGTGTTTGTTTGTGGGCAACCGGATGACGCTGATATTGTAATTCCGGCATCAGACGAGCCAATTAATACGGTTAATCAGGCAGATGTTGAGATTCATGAAAACCAGATGGTGTATGAGCCCATTAGTAGTCCAGAGAGTAATGATGACAGGGAGATTTCCACAGCATCAGAGAACCACGACGGTGCGTCTTTACTGGACATTCAGAACACTCGGGAGATGGAAGGAGATGTATCAACTAGTAGAGACAACAGTTGTAGCCAACAACTGGAAAAAGAGGAAGACCTCCAGGAACAAATGTGTGTCCCAGACAGCCAAGATGTTGAAGTGGAAGCACAAACCGTCAGAGTGTCAGAGAGTTGTGTTCCTGCACATTTGGAGGAGAGTAACATGAATGTGAAACAAGTCGCAGTGATCAGCTCCAGCGATGACATCAGCATGCCAGATGGCCAGTCGGAAGACGCTACACTACAAAGAGAAAGGAATGGGTATGCAGATTGTGCCAGTGCCACAGAGGTTTCTGAACAGGTGCAGGAGGTTGCAGACGTCACAGTGACGACAACTACAGCCACCACTAAAGTGGAAATACCAGATAGTACATCGGAGGAGTTTTTTATCTTAGAACCAATGCAAACGGGTGCATTTCACTACGACATTGTCACTCAAGCAGCGGCTGAATCAGGTTTGTCGGACTCTCTTTCAGAGCAGGTGAATGCAGACGGTCATTTGGAAGGCGATATGGAGAATGAAAGGATTTTAAATGGTTCCCAACAAGCCGACTTCCTGCAGGCAGAAGTGCACCAATGTCACACAGCTGATGAGATCAAAGTGACCAATTCAAGTGAGGTTGTAGACCAGGAGATGACAGACCAAAGTGTTGAAGTTCTTCAAAATTCCGACCACAGCAGTCACCCGACCTCTGACTTGATGGATGTTAATACCTCAGAGATTGATATGGCAAACTGCCATGCTCAAGTCACAAATGAAGACTGCAATGCACTGATAATAACAAACGCCGATGCTGATTTGGATTTACAAGAAGTGCAGATTCTACAGGATATAGAGATCGGACGTGAGATTGTAGTAGCAGAGGAAGAGAGTGATGAAGATAGTGACATCATAATAATAAAAAAACTCCAGCAAACACCTGAGGCAGACCCTCCTAAAAAGTCTGAGGAAAAAGCTAAAGATGATACATGTGGGACCAGCTTGAAGCTAAATGAAAAGACTAAAGATGATAAAAAGGGACAGGGGGCAGAAAAACCCAAGAAACAAGAAATGAACACACAGGCCAGAACCAAAGCCCGTCTGGCAGCTCTGGCTGAGCAAAAGGCTGCGGCCTCGAAGAGAACTGCAAACAGACAGCAGCTGAACCTCTTAGCTTTGTGTCACGAAATTGCAGAGGACATTGCTACGGACAGCATGCTGTTAAAGAGGATAGAAGATGAAAAGCTAGCAGCAGCATCAGAAGCCGCATCCAAGAGTGAAACGAGCAAGAAGGAAAGTCCACCTGTTAACAAGCAAGAGGCAGACACTGCTGTTGTCGCAACTCCTGCGGGACCAGAGGAGAGTTCTGCTTCAGTGGCCCCTGCTGAGGAGGCCCCTAAAGCTCAGCCCCCAACTGAGGTAAAGCCTGCTGCAGAGCCCGCCGCGAAGCCCACTCCAGAAGCTCCAAAGAGGCGTTTCTTTGTCACGCAGATTTCAGTGCCACTGAAAGCCCATGAGAAGAAGAAGCTAACTAGATATCAGAGGCTAAGACAGGTTGAACTGCAGAGAGAGAAAATGTCTTGGGCACGTGTGAAGAAGCTTAAGTCGGACCAAGCAAATCAGATGTTTTCAGACATGGATTGGCAAGCACCCATGTCTGCATCCTTCCCATTCTCAGTTCCTCCTGTGACCACAGCTCCTCCTCCACCTGCAGCCGCTCCATCCGTATCACCTCTCCCAAGCCCCGCCTCCAATAGCAAGCCTGCAACACCCAAGGCAGAAGTCCCTAAAGCTGACCCTCCCAAAGCTGAACCCAGTAAGATTGAACCCACTAAAATAGAAACACCCAAAACTGAACCCCCTGAACCTGAAGCTGAAGCCTCCAAAACTGTGACTCCTAACGCTGGAATTCGTAAATCTATAAGGCAAACTAAGGCTCTGACTCCTAAAGAAACCCCTTCTCCGGGGCCCACCCCTAAAGTGACCCGATCAGCAGCAAAGAGGACCCTCCCAGCAGTACCCCCACCCATGCCTAATGGAGTTAAAGCTCAAAAACAGAAGCCCGTTGAGTACAAGCCATACAGGCCTAGGCCAAAGTATTCCTTTGATGATTTTGAACTAGATGACGACCCGTTACCAACAAAAAAGCCCGGTTTTCAGTCAAGGCCGACACAGCCGACACGGCCGGGTGTCCAGTCCAACCCTGCAGCGCAATCTAGACCCACTCTTCAGTCGTTACATCTTGCAAACCAGGCAAGACTCAGAGCTGGACAGATCCCAGGTCAGTTGAGGCCAGCCGGTTCCACAAATCCACAGTTAAAGCCTGCAGTTGCAACGACACCCCAGTTAAAGACCACAGCTACTGCCACGGCTACTGCCACAGCTACTGCCACGGCTACTGCCACAGCTACTGCCACGGCTACTGCCACGGCTACTGCCACAGCTACTACCACAGCTTCTTTAAAACATCCTTTAGTTAAAGCTCAGTTAAAGCCTCCTCTCATGACATCACCCCAGTCAAAGGCTGTTTCAGCTCCAGGTCAGCCCAGGCCCGCTGCCTCGCCTCAGTTGAAGCCTGCTGGTAGTGGGGGTGCAGCTCAGCTCAGGCAGACAGCAGCTTCTCAGTCTGCAGGTTCAACAACATCTGAGACAAAGCCAGCTGTTCCTAAGACCATCGTTGGTTCAACGTCCCAGAAAACCACACAGAAGCCGTCAGCAGAAGATGGCAAATGCAAGGTAACTCACAAATGAATTATGCCATAATGTGTCACAAACAGCATTTTTGAAAAACTATGATACTCATCCCTTTCTTTTTTTGTTATTTAGGGTACAGCTAATCCCACCTCTTCCATTCCCACTAAAGATGGCTCTAAAGTGCCTGATGCACAGAAGTGTGAAGAAAAGCCTAAAGGTATGCATTTATTTGTAGCTAGTATTTTCTTCTAAACATCTGTCCCAGAGAATACATACCAAGTCTAATAATGCATCACATTCTTTAATTAAAAAAAATAAGGCTTTAAATGGTAAAATTAGTCTTTCAAAAGTTTTTTTCAAAAGGATTTTATGATCGTTATTGTTTTTTTTAAATCTAATAATAATTGGTCAAATCAGTTCTGTTTAATTGGTCTTAAATGTCATTGTAAGTGGCAGTTAAGAATATTAATTCTAACTTGTTCTTACTAATTCTAAGCTTTAGGAACTTTTACATTTCAGACCTTGTCCACAAAATATCTTCCAGTAAACAATTACTCTTATTTGTTCTCTTAAGTATTTCATTTAATTTCACGAAATCTTAAACATCCTATTATGATGTGAATTATCAAGAAGACTTCACATTGTTGTCACAGTTGTTACTTATCGCATGACAACATAAAGCTAAAATAATAGATTTTATTTTCTTGATATACAAAATCACACCGCTGAAATAATCGTACCTTTTCTGACAGTGACTGGTGTGGATCCATCTCCTGAGAATAAGGCACAAACAGTCAAGACAGAAGAGAAGACATCGGGGAAACCTCAAGAGTAAGAAGATCCTCTCGAGTAAATTGACATGTTTTCTCTCGTAGCAACAGAAATCTGAAATAATGTAATGTGTGTTTGTGAACAGGGGAGCAGCGGAGACGAGGGATGGCAGGACTCCTCTCTCTGACGCCTGCCTGCAAAAAGAAGTCAAGAAGCTAAAGGAGGCTGACAAAGACAGCACCCAGACCATCATTGTGAGCATATGTCTGTTATTATTGTTCATTTCATAGGAAGACAACTTTAAAGGATATCAGAAATTGAAGGTTGAGGCCTTAGGGGCTTATTCAAGGGAATATTTTGAGGACGCATTTACATGAGTACTAGTGATCTGTTGTTTTTCGTGTCTCGCAGGATGCAGGACAGAAGCATTTTGGAGCGGTGGCCTGCAGCGTGTGTGGGATGCTCTACTCTGCTGCCAACCCTGAAGATGAATCTCAGCATCTACTCTTCCACAACCAGTTCATCAGCGCTGTTAAATATGTGGTGAGAGGAGGATTCTTTAAATGAAATGTCTTTATTATTTGTCTTGCCTACTCTCTCACAGTATTGACATAAGTGCATTACACCAAGCATGTGTAGAGTAGTTTATTTGCCAAATAAATAACCAACAGTTAGAGGGTAATCTTATGTGATCGCACGCTAAGTGAATACAACTTTACTCTTGCTCACTTTTGGGATTCAAACAGGTGCCACCAAGTATACTTATAGCTGATATTCCTAATGTTCAATACACTTTAAGTTTCCATCAATTTATTTAGATTACTTTAAATTGTACAGTGTCCTAACAGCAGCATGCAAGAGTATGTAGCTATGAAATGATGGAGCAAGTAAGTAAGGGATAATGTGCAGCAAGGCGGTCATTATGGGGAAAAGAACACCCGACACGGCGCACCAGCGGCTGGAACTGCGACAACAACTTTACGGCAGCTCTGTCCAACTCCGTTCACGGTTTCTGATCCACTAACAAGTCCTTAAACACTGCAGAGTCCATACCGTGTTCCTGTTAGTGTTTACTTCCTCTCTGCCTTCTTCTGGTGATTTATCTGACGTCCAGCGCTCGTCTTTTACCCTCTTTTACTTTCTCTTTCTTGATCCTCCTTAGCAACGGCAGGAGCTGCTTCGATAGCGTTTTTTGAGGAGCTTTTTGATTACAGATTTGAAAACATCGTTGCTTGCTTTCAAAGTAGCACAATTCATGATGTCAAACCTTGGGAAGTATCTAGATATCCCTTCCTTAATGCCAAAGTAACTAAGAAACTGAATATGTTTTGCCATTTCATGTCTATGGCTGGCCCGTTGCGTAAAAAGGAGGGTTTCTGCCCTGTTACTTCTCCGCTGTTTTCTTGCATGCAGTTTGCTTTTCGGCCAAACTGTATACAGTTCAATCAAACGGACTTTGTGCAGATGTGAGCGTCCTTAACAACGGTCAATAAGTCTTTGACAGCGGTCTGTACTACTGGATTAACAACGTGTCACGTGTTCTGAATTGACCAATCAGAATCGAGTATTCAACTAAGCCATGTAATAAAACATAATAATAACCTGTAAGGGAAATCATAAAACAATAGTCAAATAATCTGAAGTAAATTTGAAGAAAGAACAGCTACATTACTATCAATAATAGGCAAGCATATTTGCATTATTTGTGCCACATAGGTAGTTACTGTATTTAGTAAATGAAGTAGAAAGCCTCATGTGGACAATAACATTATGCTTAAGAGTTTATCTTGTAAATTCATCAATTTTTCCCTTCTCTTTTTCAGGGATGGAAGAAAGAGAGGATCCTGGCAGAGTATCCTGATGGCAAGATCATCCTGGTCCTGCCTGACGATCCCAAATATGCTCTGAAGAAGGTACAGTGTGTGAATGGGGATTAACCTTTGTCATCATAGAATTCTTTAACAATGATGGGCATTACTGACGCAATTACAAGCTATGAAATCACACATATGATGTTATTCAAATGGAAAACTTTGAGAAAAACACCACACCAGCATTTGTTATCTTCATTTCCACTAGCTGTTTGGTTTTCTCAGGTGGAGGAGATCAGGGAGATGGTGGACAATGACCTGGGCTTCCAGCAGGTGGAGACCAAGTGTCCCTCTGTGACCAAGACCTTCCTCTTCATCTCCCATGATAGGAAAGTGTGTGGATGCCTTATAGCGGAGCACATACAAGAGGTAAGAGACTACAATCTTTGACACTCGTTTATTACAGAAACATGTTAAGGATGAACGGACTGCATGAGTTTGAAGTATACTGAGCCTTTATTTTATTTATTTTTTAACCTTATTTATTTTTGTTTCAGACAATAATGCAGTACAAAATATCTTTCAGTCACATTTTCAGTACCACTCCAGGGCAAAACAAAATGTAATAAAGATGGCCTAGCTTAGAAAAATAAATAACAAATAATAGCAAGGCAATTTATTTGTATAGCACAATTCATACAGTAATGCAATTCAGAGTGCTTTACAGGATCAAACAAAGAAATACAAAACACACAAAATAATTAATTAAAAGAAAGAAAACCATGTTTAACAGTTCGAAAATTAGAACATTTCAATTTGAAAAGCCATATTAAAAAGAAATGTTTTGTAAATAAACAAAAATAGTAATGATGGAGAGAGAATACAAGTGAAATACAAGAGTGTTAACATTCTTACTGTATTAGTAGATGCATTACAGGGGCCCATCGCTTGATAAATGTATTTTTCTGTAGGCATAATAAATATGTTATTTGCTCCATGTGGTGGATATCCCAAACTCTCTGAATCCAGCAGTTATAGGTGGGAGGTTCTGGTTTCAACCATTTAATAGCGATGCACTTCAGGGCTACTGTCAATACAATTCTTAATAGATATGCCTTAGACCTCTCTTCTAGACCCTCATGTAAAACTGTACTGAGCCTTTATATGATCGCAGGGATACAGGGTGATCGAGGAGCCAGGACCGGAGGGCACAGAGGGAGAAAAGGTAATGTTTGAGCGCCAGAGAGCGTGGTGCTGCTCCACGACACCGGAGCCAGCAATCTGTGGTATCAGCCGCATCTGGGTGGTGAACATGATGAGGCGCAAGGGCATCGCCTCCCGCATGCTGGAGTGCCTCAGGTCAGAACATCTTCAAAACCACCTATAGTTGATATGATAAAGCCTCAAAATAACCGACATAATGACATCCATTTTGTTCTTTCCTCCACAGGAACAACTTTGATTACGGTTCGTACCTGAGCAAAGACGAGATCGCTTTCTCCGACCCCACACCCGACGGGAAGCTCTTCGCCACACATTATTTTTCCACTTCTCAGTTTTTGGTTTATAACTTTGTGAGTGGAACGCGCTCATCCCAGCCAAAAACTGACGCAGTATGACAGTCTCCAGGAAAAGGTAACAATGGATTGAACCGAGACGCCCACCGAGCAACGGGACGCATCATCGCTAAACCGTCTGATCCAGATTTGCAAAATGTAAAAAACAAACTGTAAATAACTCCGTGAAGAGGACACACATTGGTTTAAATCTCAGGATGAAAACAACAAGGTGTTGTTAATCATTTTTATTAACTCGCCCTTTAATCCCTCCCCGAATGGTATTTTGAAAAATGAGAGTATTTTCTTCATACACTTTTAAGTAAACAATTGGTTTTATTAGAAGGATAGAGTTTACATGCATGACCTGACAGCAATAGAAAACAAAGAGCCTTTCATTGATGTTTTCCTTTGAATTCCTGCGAGGTCAAACAGGTGCATTTTAAATGTTATTTTAGAGTTTTGTCCATATTAAGTTGAAATGATTTTTAATTGCATCATGTAGTGTACTTCAAAGGATTATCATGTCCATCTCTTCACAGCTCAAAGTGATGCTGCCGTCGTCTCAGATTGGCTTTTAAGCAGCAGCGATCATGTTACTGGCCGGTTAAATATGTATTTTTTCCACATCAGTCCCACTGATTTCACTGTTATGTTTTTATTATAACATTTCAAACTGATCATCCTAAAGAGATGTGGGTTGAAGCTGTAGCCAGGGCATTAATTGTGTTCTCTAATTTCCTTAGATCACCTTGCCCGTTTAGTTTTCCCAGCTGAGCCATATACTGTACACCGTTTAGCAGGGCATTGGAGCCTAAAACTGTATGAGTGATGTCCTTTAGTTTCACCGAAGCTGTCTATTGCTTTCTTTGTGCCTGAATGAATAATGTGTCACTTCAAATTAGTTTTTTTCCTAGCCATACGTTATGGCTTTTTATTGCGTTAATGTAGAGTATCATTCTCCTTTTACCTAAGTGAAATCGAATGAAATGTATATCAAATGATCATGTAGAGTTATGCATACTATAACAACATTAATAATGGATGTGTTAAGGTTCAGCCTTTATGATTACCAACAGGAACATTTGCTCAGTGATCAACATGAGGGGTTGTATCTCTTCCTCTCTACACAGATTTACAGTATCATTGTACTCCATCCCTTCTTTTATTTTTCCTACTTGTTAAAGCAATTGCTTTTAGAAAAATGTGTCGTGGAGAAAAAGATATTTGATTTATACGAAGCTGTATGTAAATATTTATTTAAATAATAAACGATATAAAACTATTTCTCTTACTCAGTTCTCTTTGAAAAACAGGTAATTATGTGCTCTTCCATTTCCACTAGGTACTGCTAGCAAGCTTCTGACCCTCTTCAGTCCACATTGTAGTATTAGTCACTAATGCCATCTAGTGGACATTGTTGTTGCATGTTAAAAGACACCGGATTATTTTTGATTTAAAATGATCATCTCTCGAATGTGAAACGTATTTATGGATCACACCTATAAATGGCTTTAATTTGTATTAATGTTTGATAGGTGTCAATTGTGGGAATTGTCTTGCTGTCATGTATTCTCTTTGTAGTTGCAGATGTAAACACTCCCCTCTTAGTGCATTCCTCGACACTCCTGTCACAACACGGATCAGCTCGATGGCAACTTCTGAGAAACAAAACAACCTTAGAACAACACGGATACTTCCTCAGCCGCAGAGTGAGAAAACAGCTCCTCCACGGAGATCGGATGCTGATCAGCAGGAGAAAAACAACCAAGCTGAGCTTCCTAAGGTATCTCAAACACAGTGGTCACCATGGCCTGTTGACTTTCGCTGACACTAGGACCACCTCGGGACTGAATGCACATTATCTTAAATCTAGAGTCCATGGAGATTGAACTGGATTTAGTCTGAATTTTGTTTTATCTCACAGTAAAAAAGAATACCCAACATTTGTAAATTCACACTTTTATTCTCACATCAATTTAAGAGACACAATTGTCACAGCTGCCACATTGAAACAAAAAACCATGTATTCTAATTATAAATGTTTGGTAAAGTGAAAATGTCTATGAAAATGTCTTATTTACACTTTAGACAGCCAATATACAAAAAATCAGGATATTAACTGACAATCTCTACAGTTTGCACACATGTGTATATATACAGTTACTTTATTTAGCAAAATGTTGACCTGAACTTCATCCCATACCTGAGCTGCAACAACAAAGTGACGCATTGACTCAGGAGGACATCAGCAGGGACTTGATCTGCTTTAAGAGTTTTAAAACAAGATTACACTAATGCTCTCGGGACTTGATCTGTTGACATGCAACCTATAATAAGAAAAGAGCTGCTCCAGAGTGTGGCAAATACACAATCACCATGTAACAAAAAAGCTATTTTGACATAATAATGAGCACAACTCTTAGCTGAGATGGTAAATAAAGGGTTAATACGTTGGCTTGTAACACATTCAGCATTTGGCTCAAATTAGTTGACATGATAGTGTATTTTGCCAAGGCTATGGCATCATCAAAATGTAGGCACCAAAGACAATATATCATGCTGTAGCTCAACAACTTATTTTTGAACAAGTTTTGATAAAAATCTAAGACGTCCTTACAAGAAAGGACAATTCTGACCACAAAAATTGTAAAGTACGTCCAACATATCAGGATCCTCGACCCTTCTGCTCATGACTCCCTGTCCTTTCCCAGGCTGCAACACAACTACCTCAGCATCAGGTGAAGGCTCTACCAGTGGATGCACTTTGTTACCCTTCTTCTTAAAGTCAGTAACGCCAACACCGGGCAGCGTGCCGTTCCTCTCCGCCCACATCTTGGTGTCTTCCAAACTGTCCCTTGTCTCTATGATACCGTCAACATGAGCGCTGTTCTTGCTAACTATGCTCAGGTCTTCTTGACATGGTTCTGAGTCACTAGCATGGGGGAGAGAAAAGTAGGTGCACTTTCTTGTAAATGTCGACTTGTTGTCCTCCACTTCAGACTGTGTGTTGATACGGGAATGTGAGGTTTTCTCCTCTGTATCCTCACACATTCCTTGGCCTTGAAGAGACTTTGTAAAGTTTGTGTTTATTCCAACCGGGTCTGAAATCGACTTTCTCATCAGCGTGTTTTCTTTAAACAGCCATTGTTCATGATCAATAGCGTCTTCTGGCCTGACCTGTGCATGAAAAGTAATGCAACGTGCTGCTTCACTCAAGGTGTCCACAGCAGAAGATGAATTGAAATAAGACAACTCAGACATGGCTTTGGCTATGTGGAAAGGCGAGAAAATGCTCGGATGTTCTTTCGTTTTCTCTTTTGTTGCAGATGGGGGCCTTTCAATCACCTCCTCATCTGGTTTTGCTTCTTTTTGGCCATAAAGCCTTTCGATAGTTCTTCTCACAAAGCCTTTAGTGATAGATTTCCGTGCTGAATCATCTTCGCCGCTGGACAGGTCACTTGAAGTCAGAGACTGGTACCCGGCACTAGCTGAGGTCTCCGCTCTTATGTCGGACAGATCTGATGTTTTCAGGCTTGGGAAACGTCCGTGCTGGACATCTGTGGCATTTTTTGCCAGGAACATTTCCCTTATTAATCGTACCTTGTTGCTTTCAGGCTCTGATGTTATAACGCCACAGGAATCGTAGCTGAACGATAACGACGACTGAGGAGGTGATCGGTTGATGGGAGTTGTTTGAGATGTAGGTGATTCAGAGGGGGAGTTCTCCATATCTGACTCGAGATGGCCATGTCTTTGTGAGGAACGTTTGATGGCAGAACTCTCTGTTGTCTTCTGTTCATCAGCAACTTTCTTTTCCAAAATAATTATTCTCTCTGTGACAGATTGGGATATGAATTCTTCAAATTGATGCTTGAGTTTGTCCACGGCCTTTTCACTTGTTACTTTAAACGTTGTTGTCAATTCAGGAGCTTCCTTATATCTGTCCATATTGGCGTCTTTTTCTTCTTTTACATCGAAGCTTAATAATGATTTATTTAAGCAGTTGATCTGTCCATCATCGACCTTTGGTTGATCTACTTCTATATGTTCTTCACAGCTGCTGTGGTCATTCCCACTATCTTCACCTGCATTGAATCCATAACTCTTTGTTAAAGTGTGAGAATTAATCAAACTGCTATTGGCATATGAATCCTGATTTTCTATCAAGTTTCTTAGACTAATCTCATCACATATGTGTGTATCGTGTTGGTCCTCATCGTCTGAGCTGACCTCGTCCTCCTCTGTCTCTTCAATCAAATCCTTTATCTCCTTCTGAACTGGAAGATCATCAAGGTATTCTTCCTCCTCAGCCTCATTGCCAGACACATTTTCCTCAATGATAACCTGTAGTTTCTTACATTCCACCTCTTGCTCCTCTTCCTCTGAACATGGATCATCAACATCTGAGTTACATGTGCTTTCATCAAAACTGACATTCGGTCCTGTAGAGCCTGCTTGACATCCGATCTCCGATTCCTCTTCCTCTGATATGGACTTGTGTTGGCTATCTGGACTGGAAATAATTTCTTCCCCTCTTACTTCCACATTGTAATCCGGGCTTGGTTGCTTCACCACCTCCTCCTCTTCCTCCTCAGAATGACTCTCAGGGTTCAAGTTTTCATTTAGTATCTCCTCACATTCAACTTCTTGTTCCTCTTCTGAACTATGTTGCTCAGCTGACTCTGAGCTCGGTGCACTCTGCTCACAGCTCACAGTCGCCTCTAAATCTTTAATGGCACTTGACATGCTCTGCCCTTCCTCATCTGAACCTGACTCGTCATAATGACTAAGCTCATTCTCAGGGATACTCTCTTCACTGTACATCCTCATCTGATTAACCTTGTCTTGCCCCTCCAGCTCGAATGTACAACTATCTTCTTCAAAACTCTGCTGGTCGCTGACTACTTTATTAGTTTGATCCCTTTCTTGGTTTGATTTGTCTTCCTTGTGGTCTTGCTCCCAATTATCTTTAACAAGCACTGATGGCTGCCTTTCATTTGGTATCTCTTTATCATTGGGTTCAGTTGGTGGACATTTGGCCGCACCATCCTGCCCATATTGGCTAGCATTTTCTTTGGTTTCTTTAGTTATCCTGACTGTGTTGGACTGTTTTGGCTGGGTAATGTCTGTGAATTTTCTAATAATGGAGCCCACATCAACCTTAACTTTCTCATCTTCAGCAACAGTCCTTACATCAACACCATCGCCTGTGGAGAATTGGGATATCTTGGCCTTAATGTTGTCTTTCGGTTCCACTTCTATCTCTTCTTCATTGTCCCTTTTGACAATTATTGAAAGAGAGTCCAATTCCTCCTTGAGCTTATCAGGTATGCCAAGAATATCCACAATCTCATCAATTACATTTTCATCAATGCCACAGTCTTTTTCTGGACCAGCCTGGGTGGCATGTTCGTCTTCTGAATAAATCGGTGTTTCGCTGCGGCTCTTGCATTTGAGTTCCTGAAAGCCCTGCCAACTTTGAAGTAGCTGCTTCGAGGCAGACTGCTGTAAATTGGACAAACTAACTTGTAACTCATTGGAGTCCTCAATGCTGGCAATTTCTCTGAGAGAATCAATCATTTTTAAAGCTTCTGCACAGCTTACGCTGTTTGCATTCAGCTCGACCATATCAAGGTTAGCCATGCCTTCCTTTAGGGTCATGACGGACAAGAAAGCAAGGAGAGCTTTAGTGGATGAGCCAAATGTTGAGGCTACATGAGAAGAGAAGTCAGGCAGGCTGTTGGACTTTTCCAGACATGATCGATGGTTGTTCTGTGTAATCTGTCTAATGGACTTTATTGAGTAGCAAATCTTTTCAAGCACAGGTTTCATGTTTGGCTGATTTGCCATGTGTAATGGTGGGGACATTATTTGTGTTATGGATTTCTCTTCATCTGATGTTGTAATGTCATTTGTCCCCTTATTGTCATCTATCTGATCAGCTGCCAAAGGCTTACGTTTGTCACAAGTTAGTGTTTTGTCCATTTCAGATGTTAATTTTACTGTTGAAAGATGGTTTCTGTGGTGTGTTGTTTGCTTTAGTGTATTATCTGTTGGCTCTGATGCACTGTCTGAGGAGAGATTTCTTGAAAGCACGTTCTCACTTGACTTGTGTCTGACAGATGGTGACGCAACGTCCAAAGACTGAGAATATGGAGACATTCTCTTTTGTGATTTAGGTGTATAAAGCTTTCTGATAGTGGAGGGGCTAGCTTTTGGTGATCCATGTCTTCGCATTCCAATATTTGGTGACATCGTTTTATCTGGATTGTGGCGTTGCAA